CACCACAAGCAAGGCAGTAATGCCACTAAAACAAAAGGAGTTAAAAGGTAAAAGAATCAGAAACAGAAATATTAATGATGAGCAGAAAGAGAAGAGAGTCATCAGGTGGACAGTAGATAGCAATTGAAATTGCATTTAAATTTTTTCAGGGTTAGTTTTGACTGGAAAGCATGACTCTGGAAGGGAGTTCCACAATTGAGAAGTACAAGAGAAGAAACTGCTAGTATAGAACTTACAGCTACATCTAGCCAGCTCAACTGTAAATTGATGAGATCTTGACTCCAGTCTAGTACTGCACTTAAATTCATAAAGTTTAGGTACCATAGTAAAGAGATCATTCGAACAATTACAATGAAAATATTTATAGAAAGAGAGAGGCAATCTTACGGCAAAAGTGACTGGAGCTGAGCTGCCAGATGAGGACTAATAATATTGCAGATTCTTCTTTGGATCTTATCAAGGAGATCAAGGCAAATAGCAGGGGCACCAGACTATATGTAGAAGCAATATTCTAAGTTTGAATGAATGGTAGACATAGATATTTCATACACTAAAATTTTTTGTGAAAAATTATTAGCTTACCAAATTGATGGCTTTTTTTCTTTAAGAAGGGACTATTATATGTGCATGGAGACACAGAAAACACATGGTCATTATTGAAGTAGTGATAATTTAAAGAGAAAAGATTAAATTTTGCTTACATACTAATTTTGCCAAAATAGCCTTGATTTATGAATATTTTAGTGAGTATCATATTGTTTTATAAATTTTATAAAGATAATATCCAACAATGACTATACAGAAATGTTGAAAATTTTGGTCTAGTAAATTTACAAATTGATTCCAATCTCTGACTAAAAACTAAATCATCAACAGTTGAAGCAAATTCAAAGCATTCAAAAATTATCACTGACAAAATAAAATCTAACGATTAAATATGCAAGATAAACACTTGTATCTTGAAATGATTTAAGTGGCAAGGAAAAATGTTCTTTTCAGTAAGGTTAATGCAGAACAGAAATTGTTTTTAGACAAGATTGTCAGTATAATCTGATTTTTAATGAGAATCCAAAATAAAGAAAAAAAAAGAAAAAAAGAAGATATCAACATACCAGCCTAAACTAAATTTACTTAACTTATTTTGTGCAGGCATGTGTTTGTTTTTGTGAATTTTTTTATTATGAATTGCTAGAATCTAACAAACTGTTTATTTTTCTTGTAATGCTGTTGCAAGCAACTAGCTTGTATGAATGGCACATTTGAAACCTCCGAACTGAGCAAGATGACTGGTGACTTTGCTGCATAACACCACCCATCTCCAGATCACAATAACAACAATAAACACTGAGCATGAATGGGAAGTTCTTCTACACGTATATTGTCCAAACTTGTCACCATCAGACTATGACTTATTTATGAAATTACAATACACTTGATAAGGGTACTGAAAACTTACCAGCTTGGCCTACTTCCAAAGATCTGAGTAAAAAAAATTTTCTTGAGATCTTTCTTGGTTATGTCAAACTTTTCAGCACTCATTTCTATTAGTTTTACTTCTGATGCTATGTTCACAAATGAACTTTTCTCAGCTAATTTAAAGAATCTTAAAACAGGTTTTATCAAAGATTTAAAAGTCTTCATTACATGTACTTGATTTATCAAAACAGGTTTTATTTAATTTCAGGTATAATTAAATAGATAATCTACAGGATTTTAAAATTTTTGTATAAATTCTTTTTTGTAGTAAATTCAATTTTCTAGCACATAAACACTGATTAGATAATCCTGTTAAGTATTCTTTCTGTTGGTGTTTTCTCACTTACCAAAAATTTATGCACCAAATAAGAATGTATAGTTTCCAACTTCTTAGGATAACTGAAGTTAAAAAAGTATCAATTATCCATAGGAATTGATCATATGAACCCTTACAGGTCACTAACAAAGAAATAGAGAAAAGACGGACTTAAATAAAACTTGGTTACTTTTTAAAAACAAACCCTGCAGATAAAACTTGGTGATTGATTCAGAGCTGCATCCCTACAAATACAAGTAAATTCTATAACAAAACAAATGAAAAACAGATTGTATTATCCAAAATTAATCTCTGGCCAGGTAACACATACAGAAAATAAATAAAAAGACGCTAGAATATTTTTTTTTTATTTTATGAAAATAAATAATTATATTGTTGTAGTATTTGACAGTTTTTTTAATGAATGAAAACCAAAAGCTTATATTGAATTTATGAATTATTCAGTTTTTATGATCCCAAGTTAGGAACAAAATTTCATTTTATAAAATGTATGCACCAGTTTTCAGTCTATTTTTGTAAATATCAGTAAACAGTTTCAGTATTTTGGTGAACAGCTTTTATATAAAAATATGTGATTGTTATAAAAATGAATATAAATTCAAATAAGTACACATTCACAAATAATGTTTGTCTTCATTTGCCTTTATGTTTTTTGCATTTTTAAAAATTTCTACAAAATAAAAAAATTTACACACAAGCTTTGATTTGAACAAAGTAGAAATCTTATAAAAATTATGACTTACTAAAGCAAAAATGACCCAATTTTTATGCTATTCAATGATGAATTGATGATGGCTTCTACCATTGTCAACGAAACGTAATTAATCTCATATTTATTTAAGTGTTTTTTCCTTGGAAATTGCTAACTTTATTTCTTTTAGTTTTAAACGTAACAGCATTACTTAATTCATCATAGAACAATAAGTAATTATTTGAATAAAAGAAAAGAAAATTTGGAAATAACTCCTGACAGCGGATGTACATCATTTCATTTATGTTTGTTTACAATTTGAAAACGGGTTCTCAAGAAAATTTCAGTTTCAGAAGTCGGAAATATTTTTAATATAACATCGAATCTTAGTGAAGTATCATTTTAAAATTAACAATATTTACAATAAGAGAAATTAGTGTAAAATAATAAAAAGTCAAAGCAGCAAAATGAGACGACTAGCAGTTTCGTGTGCCATGATGGGAATTATTGTTTTTGTTTTGTTTTTTTTTTTGTATGTAAAATTATGTAGTCATTTTCGTGCGTTAGTATGAAAAAAAAAAAATAACGAAATAGAAATTGTACAAAAAAAATACATTGTGTTTATATTGATTTAAAATAAAGAATTAAACTTCATTAATCCTCTTTTTAGTAAAAAATCACAATTTGATACAGCCAAAATGAAAAATGTATTTTTAATTTAACAGATAAAGAATTTTTTCCTCAAAATATTAATTTATTACTTTGAATAAATATAGTAGAAATGTTCAAATTGCAACTGTTAGTAAAAACAGTTACGAAGGTTAGTATTAGTATACAAACAAGATTTGTTTCCATAGCAGCAGAAAAAAATTCAAAGAAATCTTATATATTAACAATGGAAATAGATTGATTTATGTCCGTTTTTTGGGTTTTTTTTTTTTTTTTGCGAAAAATGTTGAAATATTCGTTAGAAAAAAAGATTGGCACAAATATTTTCAATAGTAGTAGTAGTAGTAATAATTATGCAGTTTTGTTACAATAACATTTCAAGAGATAGAACTAAGTGACAAGGAACATCATCTCTTCTTCATAATCATTTTGACGTTTCATATCTTCCAATTGACATCTTTGCATGCGATATATAAATATGCATTGTTTTATTATTAAAAAAAAAAAAGAAAGAAAAAAGACTGACCAATTTTTTTCAATCTGGAAAATACAAAGAAAAATTACTTTAAGAGCGGAAAACAAAATCTTTATTCTAATTTATTACAATATTCAACACAAAGTGCATTTACATTTTTACAATTAAAGGGTGAAGAAAATCGACATTAAACATGGGCACGAGTGAGTGTTTGGTCACGTGATCAGACTTATCGTAAAAACGCATGGAAAGTAAACCTAACAGCTTCTGCTTACTTAACCGGGTTATTTTATTTCTTTTTTAAATGCGGTTTAAAATTCGTGACATGTTCCTTTTATTAATTAAAAAACTCGAAAAAAGTTGTTTTATTACACGGTTGTACTTCTTAAAAATGAGGTTTTGTTTTTATTTATTTAAAAATGTTTTATTTTCCTATCTTTTTTTCAAATGGAAATTATAATTTGTGTGCGTTTTCCTAGTTGCTGTTTCCAGGTCTTTTTTTAGCCGTCGTCTTAGTTACCCTCCCATTCATTCACACTTCCTTCTTCATCATTCAAAGATCAATTTTCTTCCTTCGTCGTTACTTTTCTTCCAACTCCTTCATGTCGCGGCGGGGAGGACGGTTTGAAAATAATCTCCCCTATCTTCACCTTGATTCTGTATTTTTTTATTTTTTTTTTTTTTTTTACAGACGATTAAAAAAAATTTAAAAAGTCAACGAGTTTAAAAAGGGAAAAAAAGTATGAAATAAAATGACAACACACACACACGGGGGTGACTGCTACTGCTGTAGTGTGTACAATCATGTCACCTACTTCTCTTGTTTAAGATAGAGGAAGGGGGTTACCAATAATCATGCCGACTTCAGCCAAAGGCGAAGTCTGAAGAAAAATAGATAAATAGAAAGAAATAGAACAAACCCCAGATAAGAAACCACCTTCTCATAGGTAAACTGTAAGTAAAATCAAATACAACTAATGACCTCTGCTTCCCCTTTTGTCAGTCAGGTGAAAATCCAGGAATAAAGAGATAAAGGCTAATAAGAAAACAGCTAAGTAGTAAGTAAACCAACGGGCCTTACCACGTGTGGACTACAACACATAACTAAAGCCCACAACAGATTAAAAAGAAAGGATCCGGGGAAAAAAACGAACAGAAGAGATATAATTTCAATAAAAAGAGAAAATGACCAATGGGGAACAGTGTTGTTTTAAAGGTACGGAAGAGTCGAATTTTGAATTGCGCGGACTAGATTCGAAACCCGAACCTTGCAATGTTATTAGCAACGGTAGCAGTCGTAGTGTGAGAATTAACCGCGCCCCCCTTAGGAGAATTCAAAATGGCCGCCTTACCACTCGGGCTGCTCTCTCCTGAGATTCACATTTCCTGCAGAACCACGGGCCTGTCGGTACCTGGACGATTCCATAGCAAGCTGCAGAGAAAAGACAAACGAATAGAGCTTCTCTTGAACACTAGAAAGCGTTCATTAGCATAGCAAAATGCCATTTAAATGCGATTGAAAGAAGAGAAGGTGTAGCACTTTTTATCAATAATTCAATCATGCTGATGATGATATACAAACGAAAACTTACCCTGGTGAACGGCCACATTGCAACCATGACCGTCACAGTAAACTAGAGGGTTTTCCGCCCAGCCTCGCTCATCCGAACAAACACAGCAACCACCAACCATCTCCTTCATTCTGGAATATATTCGACGATAAAGTAAAGTCGCGACGACTAAAAAAATATCAAAGGGGTCTACGCCATGCTTACATCTGTATGTTTGGCTCCGCGATGAAGAAGCCGCTGCTGCTGGTGATTGCGACCTCGTCTATTTGCATAGGTCATTGCGCATGCGCTCTGGCGCTCATACGCACAATATTGAGCAGGTTATGCTCTCCCTTTTCCGTTCTTGCTGCTTCTTGCAGAGTAACAGTTTTGCAGGAACCATTCTCGCAGACTATGAGACTCCTTCCCTTAGGCATAATCTCCTTTACAAACCACAAAAGGATAAGGGGTTTAAAGTATCAGTCTAGTGGTTTGCACCCAAAGGGGAAAAATTAACGAAATTAAATAATTATTTTAATTATGAACTACAAAAAATAAATGAATAAACTTATTCTGAAAAAAAAATTTAAACATTACCTAAAAAAATCCTTTTAGTTTTTTTATTAAAGAAATACATGGAGATTTACTACTCACTGTTATCACTCAGAGCGTAATAAGGAAAATATTTTTTTTAAATTAACACTCAACTTTTGCCTTTTGTCTTCAGTTAGCGTGTAAACTTATTTTTTCTTTGAATAATTCTAAAAGCGCATTTCTTAAAAAAACAAACAAGTCAGTTAATTGCAATTAAAAGAGATTGTAAAATGAAAGATTCGCTAAGCGGAAAATGTTGCATAAAGAAACTAGGTAAAAATTGCCGCTATTTTTCAATATTATAAGGGGGACATTACATTCTGAATTATCTATTTTTAATACGAAGAAATTCATCGCTAATAAAAGAAAAAATAATTGATTCATTTCGGAAAGAAATGTTATTTCCATCGTTCGATTTTTTTTTTTTTTTTTTTTTTTTTTTAGAAACCTTTTATTTTATTGGTAATAATAAATTGACAACAGCAGTTGCAGGTTCATACCTTGGAATAAAATAATTAATTCAGAATTTGGCGTTTAAAACTTCATATCGAACATTAGGAGCCGTAAATAAAGTCGTAGGATTAAAAAAATCTGAAATTGTATGCCATAGATAGCGGCATTTGTAATTATTCAAAGTTAGAATAAAAACTTACATTAAATTTTAGTATAATTTAAAACTACAATTTATATTTTTACAACGAAAGTGTTTGTTTTTTTTTGTTTTTTTTTATAAAAGTAAAACTGTGCGTAAATTCAATTTCTGCAGATGAATCTTCTTTTCATAGTAAATAAAACTGTAAACAACAGTCTCATTATTTGAAATGAACACGTCTGATATTTGAAAAAAGATCATACCTTTTCGTATTACTCAGTTCACAGGAGAAAATGGGGTAAAAAAAGCGTATTATTAACTTAGAAAAGTGCCATAAAGTTTCATTTGCCGAATCTTGCTGCTTCGCTTACTTTGAGTAAAAAAATAAAGAGTGCCGCTTGACATAGATTTGTGTAAACAAGCTGGCATCTTTCTTGTCGACTGACTAGGACCTGTTGCAAAGTCTCGTGTTTATCAGTAGATACAAATTCGGATGTATTGTTAATTAATCAAACCAGCGCTGATTGGTCGAAAATTCTCTTTTTATAGCTTGTGATATGTTTCTGCCTTACGTCCGCATTTTTTAAATCATGTTTTAGGTCCTTTCGCTGAAGCCTGTCATATATATGTATGTGTGTGTGTGTGTGTGTGTGTGTGTGTGTGTGTGTGTGTGTAATTTCATATCAACACAAAAAATTTTTCGGAAATTCAGATTTTGATGTAATTTTCGTATGCTGTATGTAGCGGATATTATTATATGTAACGTGTGTTTTCAGCTGCGTGTAGAAAAAACATATATCCTGCATACATTTATATTATTCTACAACAAAATGAACAGGAAAGCACAAAACAAAATTGAGAAAAGACAAATGCAATATTTTGGTTAACCATCAATTTTCATTCGGGATTGACAATGGCGTAGATTTTTGATGGAAATATTGTATTTTGTTTAATTAACGTTAAACTCAAATTATGTGTTTGACTTAAGTTTGCGAGTTTAACTAAGAAGTTAAGTTTTGTAGATTTTTTTGATTAAAGTTTCAAAAAGTGGTGTTGCGGGGCCGATAAGGATGTCGCCATCACAAGCTTTTAGAAGAAAGGTGTGAACAGCCAAGACAATGAGGGGACAAAGGCAGAGGTTTAAAAAACAATAAACGTCGATTTTATTTATCCAAAATGTACAAGAGTGTACTGTCTGGAGAAATATGTTTGTATCGGTGTCGGGTCCGGTATGACTGGTTTCCTTCAGGGGAAGTTGATTCGGTTGTATCGGCGAAATGAGTGTAGAGTTGATCGGTGGCGGTAGCTGGTCGACTGCCGGATGGGAGAATTGTTGGAGACAGCAGCTGGTTGATCGATACGCATTCGTTGGATCGGTTAGGACGAGTCCCTAAACAGAGCCGAGTCAGTTTAGTGATACGACTTCCAGAGCGGATCAACCACATAGGCGGGATCCCTCCGAAGTGTAGCACTTGATGAAGGCGAAGTTCCTAAACAGGGCCGAGTCAGAATAGTGATACGACTTCCAGGGCGGATCAACCGCAGAGGCGGGATCGCGCCAAGTGTAACACTTGACGAAACTAGAGTCAGAGAGTCGATACATCTTCCAGGGCGAATCAACCGCGGAAACGGGATCACGCTGAAGAGTATTCTCTCGACGAAGCACCGGAAGCTCACAAAGGTAGCATACTACACTTTGATCTAAGCCAATATTTATTGCATAAAAATACAATTATGGCACAAGGCCGAAAAAAGGGGAGGGGTTGAGGCTGGTCTTCACTTACTATCTTATACCTAGCTAATCCGATTCACGACCGATTCATGACCCATTCACTCATTACAATTTGCCCATTCACCATAAAGACTCGTCCGTCACTAATCAATCCTCCATACACCATAATACCACATCCTCTCAAGGGGAACCTACGAAACGCGCCCCATGCCCTAAAAATTTAATAATAATAAACTATATTTACAATTCTAAAGATGAAAAATGAGAGGGAAGGGAGATGAACCCAATAACAAACTAAACATGAACACAAAGTGAACTGAACATAACTGATGTTAGTAGGGCCCGTCCAACCCTCAAGAAGGAGAGAGGCCGCTGTATTCTGCCCACTGGACAAAATCAAGGAGCTCTATCACTAAGGGAGTGGGAAAAGGAGAAAATATATACGGACATGGGAACGAAAAAGCTGACCCAGTCGAGATAAAAAGAAACAAAATGGGGAGGTTGGGAATCTCAACTTGAATCATAACCAAAGAGGCGGCCGGGAACAGGCCAGGAACAACACTTACTCACATTAACTAGGTACACAAAAGCTTGTCTAACCTAACCAAGGGGAGGGCTCCACAGGAGACCGCCCCGATGTGACGTAGGTTGACCTAAAAGAGAAAATCAAGGCTAGCCCCGTTCAAACGAACCAAGCTCGCCTCAGTCACCCACCTTTGGCTGAAGCATGTCGAATGCAAACGTTTCCTATCAGTTCTAATCTTCATCTTGAGCTGATGCTCAAAGAATCAGATTAGATCCTGATGAGAAAGACGGTTGCCTCACAATACTTCCTCCATTCGCGTCGTCCAAATCACCATTCAGGCCGTGGCCAGCAGCGTGAGAAACACCATCCGTTTCACCCCAGAAAACGGGGGCGACACATTGTCACACGCGTATGCGCGATCAATGAGCATGAGCTGTTCGGGAGCGAGACGAGCCGTCAACTCGCCGACATGGTCCCATAAGGTGCGGACCCGGCGAAAATGGTAGAAGGCGTGCGAAGCCGTTTCTTCTAAACCAAGGTCACACCGTTCACAGTCTGGCAAATCCGCCAAGCCCCATATGAAGGCCATGTCATTGAGAGGCAGCCGATTCCGAGCCAATCGCCAGGTAAGCGAAAACTCAGGATTACCGAGATAATCCGCCGCCGGCGCCCAAGACCAGAAAGAGCAAAGCTCCTCCCCCGACATGTCAAGCCGCTCACGTAGAGGATCCTTCGCGAACCCCCTTCGACTAAATAAAGATAGAAGACCTTCCTAGGCTGAGAAAGGTCACTGGACCAAGGGACAGCCAACAAGGCAGACCGCGAAAGAAATCAGATTGAACCCGGGGTTTTCGATGGCGCTCAACCCGCGAGATGGGGGGGTGGAGGCTGATAGTATGGAAAAGGGAACGCGTCCCTAACAATCCCCGCCATAATCGAATCTCCTGTCAATGCGCGACGTAGGAAAGCCAACCTCGAGGCGAGTATTTGGCTCACCAAGTGTGGCATTCCCAGCCCCCCATGACACGGACGTTGTGCACAGACTCCTCTGTCGACCTGATGCTTGCGTCCCCTCCACAAAATGGAGGATAGCGAGCGCTCGAGCGGCTTCCTATGGTCTTTACAGAGGGGAAGTACGGACAATAGATAAAGGACAATCGGGAAAACGTAAGTGGCACACGCCTCCGTCCTGCCCTTCACGGACAACTTTCGTCGACGCCAAGTCTGACCGGCCGCGTCGACTTTTGCTCGTACTTCAGACCGATTTTTCTCCACTTGGAGGTCGGGTCCAAACCACACTTCAAGAATGAGGACAGGACCGTCCGTCCAACCGAAGGGCCCCGGAAGATCGACCCTCTTCCAGGCACCTAACCGCAAGCCGGACGGCAGATACGTCATCGACGTACGCGGAAAACCTGGCTCGAGCCCCTCCAGGAACGGCGATTCCACGTAGGACCGGACTGCACGCCTATCCCTTAGCCGGCGAAGGAGAGGCTCCAACGCCAAAGCATAAAGTATAGGCGACAGTGGATAACCCTGACGAACCGACCTAGACAGCGCAAATGCACCCGACAGCTTCCCGTTCACCTGTACCACAGCACTGGGGGAGCGATACAGGAGGCCAATCCTGCGGCAGAAGCCGGGTTCGAATCCGGCGGCCTGCAGGACAGCAACAAAGTAGCGATGGTCAACCTTATCAAATGCCTTGGACTGATCTAAATTGATCAGCGCGGCCTCATCGTCGTCTTTTACACCCTCTATGATTGTGCGTATCAGATGCAGGTTGCTTTGAATTGTTCGGCCCCTCAAAGCACAAGTCTGCTCAGGACCCAACAGAGACTCGGCAACT